CTTCTTTGCATTTGTGACACTAATTAGATGGAGAGCCAACAACCAGTGGATTCAACTCAAGAACCTTCGTTTGCTGACTTACCGGACGAGACATTACGATTGTCACAACCTTCAAGACGACGCAATCGAGATGAAGATCTTCAAGAACGACATGTTCTTTCTCGAATAGATGGTGAGATACAACTCGTTTGGTATCACGATTTGGGAAGGGACTCTCGATGTTTGGTGATTTTGCTAGAGGTAGGAACAACTCCTGATGGTGTTCCAAATATTCTATTCGAAGGAAGTTACGAAGGCCTCAACAATGATCAAATAACTGGGTGGTCTTCCCACCCTGGTATGGGACACTACCAATGGTTGAGAAGCCCTATCAATCATCTTCGAAGAGAACAGAGATCAGAGTATGTGGCGAATACAATTCGTCGCATCATAGATTTCCTCAACATATGATGACCGCTCCTCGTAGAACTCGTCTCTAGAAGGGGGGGTAATATCACGGCCATAATCATGTAAGCTAATAATTACATATAGAAATAGGTAGAAGTAAGTAAAAGTAGATAAAAATAAGTTAATTCTATAATATTTAATATAGAAGCTTCCTAGAAACTTCTTAGATGCTGCTTTGACTTCATAGATGTCTTTAATTGACTTTTTGGATTAGAAACGTGGTCAACAAGTTGGCCATGTGCCACACATGTTGTTAGCTTGAAGATCAAGCTAACTATGTGGCCCACACGTAGAAAAACTTGCCTTGTAAGTCAAGGCATGTGTCCTACAAAGTCAACACATATTGGAGGTCCTATAGAACGTTGCCACGTAGCCCCTAGTTAGATAGTATATATAGAGACAAGAGTGAAGGCTTCTTCACTCTTGTCAACTCCTTTCTTGCTTCTAGTCCAGGTTCAAGAGTCTTTGGTTTCTTGTCTTGTGGCAATAGCCATTCCAGTTTCCTTTTTTAATATACCTACTTGTTTATATTTTGACTTATTATATCGAGATAGCCTTTTTGTGTATATTTTCCCTCATCGAGTCTTTGTCCTTGATACAATGGCTGAAAGGATCTATCAATTATTTTCAAAGAAAACAAAGATTAGAATATGAACAAACATAATTTATTGCATCTTGGATTTTTTCAACATATAATGACAGCTCTTTTTAGAACTTGTTCCTTAAAGAGGGTGTAACATCATGGATATACATATTTATTGTAATATTTATCTATATGATTAAATAGAAGTAAGTAAAATTAGATTTTTTTCATAATATTTTCTAAAAATGCTTCCTAAAAACTTCATAGATATTGCTTTGACTTTACATATGTTTGTAATTGATTAATAGGTTAAAAAATTAATTAATAAGTTAATCATATATTGATATCTTGCAAAATAAGGTAACTATGTGGCGTACATATAAAAACTTGCCTTACAAGTAAACATACGTGTCTTGCAAAGTCAACATGTTTTGAAAATCCTATAGGACATTGCCACATAGTTCCTAATTAAGAATATATATGGAGGTAAGAATGAGGCCTTCTTCACTCTTGTCAATGCCTTTTTGGTCTTTAGTCTTATTTCAAGTCTTTCTAGTCTTCTTGTCTTAGACAATAGCTATTATAATTTAATATTATATCATCTTTAAGTAATTTTCTAATTCTTTTGATTGACACAAGTTTGTATTGAGGATTTCTTTCTTTGAACTTCATGTCCTTGATAGCTTCATGTACAAATGGTTTTTATTAATAAAGATATGATTTTGTAACATGCTTCTTATGGTAAATACCTCCTTTAATTTTTTTAACAATTATTACTTAAAATCACTTGGATAAACTAACTTAGAGCTTAAGAATATTGCTTCTTTTTATACACAATTTAGATTAAAAAAATTTAAAAATGACTTTAAATAATTTTTTTATGTAAAATTAAAATAAAAAATAAAAAATAGTATACCATGTCCACACATATAAATAGAAGGAAAATAAATCATATTTTTTTGTAAGCAATCACTTTATATAACACATGATAAATTATGTTCTAATATGAACAAAAAGCAATACAATGAGATTTTTTACATGGAATATTTATAAGAATTTATTTAGAAGATAACATGAATATTTGATCATATGAAGCTTCTGTTTAATATGCTCTTAGTTCTTTGCTAATATAAGGCACTTAATTGAACATTCATCTTATTAAATTTAAAACTAGTGATGTCTTGATAAGTATTATTTTGCTAAAGACTTAACTTTGATGAGTTTGCTTAGCTTTGGTTAATTCAAGCAAAGAAAAAAAAGAGAAGTCTGGAATCTATATTGATAAAAAGAAGAGATGGGACAAAATCCACATCAAGACATAGAAGAGGGAGAAGCGAGCAGAGACAAAGAAGAAAAGGAGAGGAACTATCTATGCCAAGATGAGGAAAAATGAATTTGGATGAGTCAATCACGAGTCTTACGTGTTATTATAGACATAAAGGTGTGCATATAACAACTTAAGGTGTGTTTATAGCATGAGAGTTTAAAAAAATTCTATAATTTTTAGAATAGAATTTACATTTTTTTTATAATTAATACTAATATTAAATATTTTATTTGATGTTTTAAAAAATATAATTTTAGTAGAATTTTTTTGTATTATATATATATATATATTTTTAAGAACAATTAACTAATAATTTAATATCATAGATAAAATAAATAATTTTTATATGCTAAATCAAAATTATACTAAAAATATATATAATTTAATTATTATTTATTTTTATTATTTTAGAAAAAAATAATATATATTTTTAAAAATAATATAATTTATATTATTTTTTAAGGATAGAAAAATTATAACTAATACTAACATTAATTTTAAATTTTAATTGTATATTTATTGATAAATATACATTTAATTTAAAATTTGTAAAGTATTTGAGTGTCTTTATATGAAAGATAGTATTAATCTTGTTACATTGCAATGAACATGACTACAAATAAGCTTCTCAAAGAATTAGTATCTTTAGCTAATTAATAATAGAGAAATAAGACTCTTATATATATATATATATATATATATATATATATATTCTAGTAACTATCATCAAGTAAAAAAGATTAAAGACTTATAAAATATTTTTAAAAATACAAATAAGGCATTGATAAGAATTGAAGATATCTTTAATCTTGCCTCTCTTTACATACTAGAGAACAAGAATATTATGTAGAAGCTTTATGAGGATTCAAGGCTTATGGAGCAAATCATTAAGTTGCATGATGATTTTACAATATCTTCTTAAAATTAAGAAACTTTATTTTAAAAGTTTTTGTAGTCAAAAGATTTACAATTTGTTTGGCAGTTTTACAATATTCTTCTAATAAATAACTTAATGTAATTTAAACAAGGATTTTAATTAATTATATTTTATTTGATTTTAAACAAAGACTTAAAATAGAAAATTTGTCGAATTGAGCTATTAAATATTAAAAAGTGAATTTTTTAAATTTATATAAAACAATATATATATATTTAAAATAAAAATGATTATAATTATTATTTTAGAATTTTTTTAATGTGTTCTTAATTGCACACATTATTTTTTCATATATTTGCAGAACGCTACATTTTCTTATGTTATAAGCAAATAATATAATCAAATAATCAAATTGTCTTAGAAGAAACCTACACCCTACAAACTATGCAAATAATGATATACTCACTAAATATTCTATTCTAACATTGATGACTTTCTTGCTTATAAATAGTTTTGATAAATACATTTGAATTAACAATATGATCCAACTCAAATCATATCTTAATGATATCCTTTTACCAAAAAGTATCTTTATTAGATGCCTTCAATTTGCTTTCTATTAGATGTAAACAGACTATTGAAATTGCTTTAATACAACAATCTCTTGCAACCTCCATGAAAGAATTTATTTACATTGTTGTGACCAATATTATATTCATAATTTGTCTATTTATAAACTCCTTCAAACTATACACAAAATGAGTCTATCTCTCTACCCTAACCCTAATCATAGCCCTAATTCTATTATTTCTATTATCACCATATGTTTAATTTGCCCTTTCTTGTCTATCATTGTAATCTAAGTATCCTTCATACTCATGTGGTATTGATACTTATCCACCTTGTGTTTTTGTATTTGAACTTCATAAAACCCCACTTCCCAATGTCTCTGTTTTTCAAGCACACTAAAATGCTAGAAACAACCCCATCTTCTCACTGTCAAGTGAAACCCTAGCTTAAAACCATGATCAGGATATGGAAAAATTAGGGTTTGAGCAGGCAGGGTACAATAGCAGAGGGCTACTCAACTGAGGCATGGAGATGAATCAATACAAAAAACAGGGTATTTAATAATCATGAAAGTTTAAAATTTGAAGCAAGTTAAATCAATTTGGAATCCTTGTTTGTAAAATATCCCTGTTGGAGAAAAAATAACAATTAAATTAGTCGAGTTGTAGAAATTCTTCCTGTGAACAAAAGTATCATGTACATTGACTGCTGTTATGTATAATACAACGAAAAAAAAAAAAACAAAAAAAAAAAAATTGAAGCAAAAGTGGTGGTTGAATTCAAAACAAGTGGTTGTCCCAGAATGTCATAATATACTCAAACATTATTTTTGCAAAACTTTGCAACTTTACAGAAGAGATTTTATCTTTTAAGACAAGATTAGGATAAGGAAGCCAAATAAAAAATAACAGAAAGAAAGAAAGAAAGAAAGAAAGAAAGAAAGAAAGAAAGAAAACCCACCGAAACAGAAAGAGCTGTTTGCGATGCAATATCTGCCCGCCCCCCCTGGTTCCCCTAAGTTCCCATCCTCCGTTCCCAGACATTGGATTAGCGGCTACGATTGTATCCGATCAACCTTGCAATCCGACGGCCCGAGATGGCGGAGCCAGTCGATTGAATAGGGAGGTTTCTGCGACACAATTCTACGAGTAGCAGTCTTCTCACTGCTTTCCTTTGTTTGGTGGGCTAGTTATGGGTTCGTTCTCCACAGCCATCGCAAACACTCTTGTTCCATGTTTGCGTCGTTAGCGAAAGAGACGGAGTGTTCTTCTCAACAGACAAAGCCTCATTATCTAGCAACTGGAACTGCGCAATGGGGTTGTATAGGAATAGAAGGGGCTGAGTGCCATGTGCCCAAGATAATGCCAGATCCTCTCACACCCAGTGGGAGGATTGCAGCTTTTCGGTGTGGGCTCTGGCTGCACGCTCCCTACCCTCGTCGTCGACTATCACGGGCCCTCCAACCAAATCTCAACTCCTAGCGCCGGGAATCATTCTTCGAGGGAGAAGGACACGCTCATCACTCGCAACTACTACTGGGGGATGTATGAAAAAGCGTCACTCGCCGCTGGGATCCACCCAATGTGGGCAGCCTATCGCAGCTGCCTCAGTCTCATCATGCCATGGCCACCCTCACCCAGATGCAGTAGAAAGTAAAACAAAAAATAAAAAATCTGAAGAATTGGAGTATTGCCTTCGTGCTGCCTAACTTCTGGGTTTTGCGGTTTCCTCGAGTGTGGTTTGGGGCTTGACAAGATCGAGAGATCAGCAGTCGTTTGATTGCTTCACATGCATTGTCTGATCCAAGGAGGAATGGAGGTGGTTTTGATGTGAGCGGAAGGGAGGCTTTGGGTGTGTGGGATCAGCGCGGGAGGGAAAAGGATTTGGGAGAACCCGGAGCGTTATGCGTAATAGTCTATGTTTGTAGATTGGTTGTGATGTGTAGGATGTAGGATTTGTTGTCGAGTTTGGTGCAAGCATCCATCGAGATGCTGGCGTTGGATTGCGTGGGAGTATTGGCCCTCCGCCATGGCCAGGGTGGGGCAGGCTTACTGCAGCGTCTCGGGGTTGAGAGACCCGGCGTGTTTGCACAGCTGGGGAGGGTGTGGATGGGAGCTGTGGTGGGGGCAAGGGTGGGACTTGGGAAAGGGTGGCGTGGAAGGTCGACGAGCACCGGGGTAGAGACTCTTGTGAGAGGAACAAACAGGGTTAGCGGAAGGGGAAGAGGGAGGAATAGCAGGGTAGAGAAGGTTCGTGTGCAAGCTGTGGCGTCCGCTTATCCGCCCATTGCGCAGACTGAGAAGACTTTCCGCTTGCCCATCGATTATTACCAGGTGAAGTTTTGTAAGTTATGTTTTTGTTTTTGTTTTTGTTTTTTTTGATGCACGGTGTTGCATCTCAGTGAACGTGGACGAGGTTAATGGTTAGGGTGGTCGAATTATCTTTAACAAGGGTCCTCCTTTACAATAGTCGGGTGAGAGTGGGGTTTTCAAGGACGGAACCTTTCTCTGTTACGTATAATTTAGTGGAAGAATGAAATGTTGTTGTAACCCTACCGCTGCTGCAAGCTTGGATATCCAAATCTCGTAATTCTTTGCAGAATGAACACAAATCACATTCAGTGTACTGATAATTGGTGTCATGAGTTGTAAGTGAGCTTGCAATTCAATCAGCTGCATTATCTTCCTTAGGTTTGAACTTCGTCCTTCGTGTTCAGTCATCATTTAGGATGATGTTCATGCCTACTTTGAATCAATCCGGACCCGCGTTACAGTACTTGTGAGTCTTTGGGACTGAAATGAGACTGCAAGACGATTAATCCCAAACCTCTACCCTGATGTGCTTCTCAATTGCTCAAATAGCTAGCTCTGGCATTGGGTGTTTTGCCACGGTTGTGGGAAGGAATTGTTCGAGCGTCGAATTTCAAGTCGGGGGGCTAACAATGGTATGACGGCAGATTTTGGGAGCTGAACCACAGTACCTGGCAGATGCTATAGTGCGTGCATTTGATTCGCGCATTGATAACTCCCCACGGCTCGGATTTAGTCAACAGGCACTACTCGCACGGCTCGAGATTTTGCGAGGAGCACGTGATTCACTTGTGGATCCCGAGATCCGGGCAGAGTATAACCAGGGCCTGGCCGAAGATGAAGCGGACACTCTTATTCTTGACGTTCCATTGACAAAGGTGAGAAGTTAGTACTTTGCCGCTGCTCCGATACAGTCTACAGGTTTCTGTAAACTTGTGTTTCTTCCAAATCCTGAAAGAAAGAAATACTTTATCCTGCTACAAATTTTGTGCTTGGGGTATCAATCCCACGAAGCTTAACGGGATTTGGTGAAGCAGGTTGGGGGGGCGCTATGTCTGCTCCACGAGGTTGGCGAAGTAGAGGTTGTACTGCAGGCAGGTCAAGCCCTCTTAGCACAACAAGAGGACCTTCCTAAAACATTGAACCGTGACGTGGTGCTCGCCATGGCACTTTCTTATGTGGAGCTGTCTCGGGAGGCAATGGCCGAATCGCCCCCAGCTGTAGTGAAGAGTTGCTCGTTGCTAGAGTCTGCTTTGAAACTGCTGAGGGTTCGTGCCCAAATTCCCCTTCCCGGCTATTTGAAAACGAAACTTAATGTGCTTGAAAAATATCTCGCTCATTGTATCGTCCTAAAAATTGGCTGTGCAATTGCAACGTGAGTCAACATTATTTCCCTCTCCTGCATTTGGACCCTGTACCATGGCAATGTTGAACATATGAGACACTCTCGAGTGTGCTTGTGCAGGAGGAAGGTGGTAGAAATTTGGCTACAGACTTGCAAGAGCAGATCGAAGGAACGCTGGATGAGTTGTCTGCCCGCTGCATTTTGGAATTGCTCTCCCTCTCCCTCGACAAGGAATACGAGCCTCAGCGTCAGCAGGGGCTCGAGGGATTACGATCACTATTGTGGTCCGTAGATGAAGATGGCAATAGCCCTCCCTTGGGTGGGTTAACTCGTGAGCAGTTGATGAAGGAAGCATTTTCGCTTATGACTGCTGCAGAGCAGGTATCTTATCTTGACGAAGATCCCTTTATTTCATTCAAGTGCACGAAGTTGGCTACAAGGAGAAATTACCAGCTCTGCAATTTCAAGAGCATTAAACCCCCCCCCCCCCCCCCCCCAAAGGCCAAGGCGAAGGCTAGGGAGGCTTTATCCTGTGGGTTGCTTCAACAAGGCACTAATTGTGGAATGTGCGGCATTGCAGGTTGCCCTTTTTACAGACACGCCTAGCAATATCCCTGCTGACAGCTCTGAAGTGTACTCAGCAGCACTGGCATATGTGGCTGAAGGGTTCGTCTCGAAGTCGCCGCGCTTGATTCAAGAAGCTGACGCGTTATTTCTCCAGCTCCAGCAGGCCGATCCATCCCTGGCCGACGGTGAAACTTCGAACTCTCCCGAATTCTCCTTCGAGAGAGGAATTTGTGCTTTACTGTTGGGAGAGGTTGCCGATTGTCGAGCATGGCTGGGTCTAGAAGACGAAAAATCGCCCCTACGCGATCCCTCGGTCGTGAATTTTGTATACTCGTACTCAGAAGAAGGTGAGGAGAATGACTCACTACCTGGTCTATGTAAATTACTTGAAGGATGGTTGACAGAGATGGTGTTCCCTAGGTGCAGAGACACTGAATCCCTTCGTTTCAAACTCACCGACTACTTCGACGATCCAAGTGTACTCAGCTACCTGGAAGGGCTTGAGAAGGGCAATGGGTCGCACATGGCTGCTGCTGCTGCTATAGTGCGCATTGGAGCAGGAGCGGGTGCTGCTTTGAATAATGTGAAGGCCACTCTCAAGAGAGTATTTCCTATGGGCAGAAGTAGTGAGAGCACTACAACAAGCGATGTACTAGATAATCCGGATGAGCTTCCTAGACGGGAGTACCATAAAGGCGCTGATGGCGATGCTCGATCTCCAAGTTTGAATAGTATTGCAACAGGTTTCGAGGATGAGAACTGGGAGGGCAGCGAGGTAGTGCAAGACGAAGGCAATTCAGTGAAGGATACGAAATCACCTCATAATGTCCCTGTTCGAGGAAGCTTAGGATTTTTTCAGATTGCCTGCGGTGGTCTCGTTCTTGGAGCTTTGATGATTGCAGGATTACGCTACCTTCCTCTAAAAACCCGACCAGCTCACGCTCTTAAACCAAGCACTCCTACCGTTTCCAGTACAGGTATTACGTCTCATGTGCTATCATCACTAGCTATGACTATTTGGTATAAACTAGACTGTGTGGATTGTTCAGTAAATTCTTATCTCGCGTTCATCTGGCGTGCGTGTCCCTATTGGTACTGCTTTTATCATTCAAGTGTGAAAAAGGATCAGTTGTTAGTGTAGAGAACATTTTAAAACATTTTAAAACCAGTCGAATCACAAAAGCGTGGGATGAGATGATTGTTGAAGTATGTTAAACAGTGTGATGGGGTGCACGTCGTGAAGGGGTTAGGAGAACGGAAGCTTTAGAAGTGGAGGTTGTCCCCAAAATGGATGCTAGGTTGGCGGAAATTATGGTTCGAAGATGGCAAGCAGCTAAAGCTCGAGCACTTGGTTCTGCTCATGATATGGCGGCTCTTCCTGAGGTATACCCTTACTCTTGCAGTAGATCTAATAATGAATCTCACAAGAATGTGTCAAGTTGTAGCTTATTCAATTGAAATGACATGACCTGTTGTGGTCGAGCAGGTGCTGGAGGGCGAGATGCTGAAGAGCTGGACAGACCGTGTTAGTGACGTCAAGAGAAATGGTTGGTTTTGGGAATACACTCTCCTTGGTCTTCACATTGATAGTGTAACAGTAAGTGACGATGGGAGGCGAGCAACTGCGGAAGCCACTTTGCAAGAGGCAGCCCGCTTGGTGGACCGCAACAACCCTGACCACAATGATTCTTATAGAAGCACTTACACTACGCGATATGACCTCCGGCATGGCATAGATGGTTGGCGAATCAATGGAGGAGCTGTGCTGCGTACTTGATTCTGAGATTTTCATCTCCGGATCATGTTGACTTGTAGGCAGATCGACTAGTTGCAACCCTTGCATGCTACGAATGAGTAGTCTTTTTGGATATTTTGATCCATCATGCAGCTTTGATGTGAGGGAATACTGTGCTGTAATGGATTGGTTGAAATGCTACAGGGAGTTAAAAGAATGCTAATTGTACTTAATACTAATCTTTCCATCGCATGGATATTACTTCACTAAGTGAATTGGGTCGCTTGTTGGCAATAGGTCAAAGTAATGTACACAGGTGGACAAGTTTATATGTAAATTTTTTAAGTACTCTATATTGTATGTGGAGTCTAGCACTGTAGTATGTGCTTGTGTACATTCTTCTTCTTGAAATGCTCTTTTGGAATTGTGTCGAAATCTTGAGCTAAGAGCTGTAGCGGTGCTAAGTTGCTCGAGTTTATAGATCTCTGCAACTTGGGTTGGCCGATGTGATAGGAATTAACGATGTCAAGCTGGACAAAGGCGGTTATTTTAACAATTCGGTATTAGTTTTGGGGATTTTTTCTCCTAACCACAGGCCTCCTGGCAGCTCTGGAGATCGTACGAGAAAACTGGCCAGATCCCCTTCAGTCTGGATATGGTGTAACTACCCTGAAACATTTGAGATACACCTATTCTAATTGTAACTAAGATGGGATTTTTGACCTCAGAACACATTTGAGTTCCACATTAGATGTACACGCAGTGCATGTAAGATGCTGGTCATCGTAGATTCGATGCAGAAGGATCAATACTGACGTCAGTAATACCGTTAAGATTCCGTGCCTTGCTTTTGCGAGATTTGTGAGGATGATTCTGGGCACCGTTGCTGGTAGCAGCTCATTTCTCTTCTTTTTCACTGATGCGACTCAGAGTGTCCACTTAAGCCGGCATTGGTTCCTCATTTCTGGGGTTAAGTTAGATTTGATTTCACTATTAATTTATGCTGTGATTTTGGACAACCACCTTTCGCTCTTTATAGCTGCTTGCTTTGTTCAGTTGATCAAAGCTGAAATCGCCTTCTGTGTCTAACTGCTTAATATTGTGTCATTTCCCTTCGTAGGCTGTGACAACAATTTGATCGCAATACATTCATGTACTGCTTGCCTGTGCAGCGCAATCTCACCAGGGATTTCAAGGTCTGCAGGATCTATTGCACCACTTTGAGCATTCAACCCAGCAACCTCTTTTACTCCTTCAACTTCTAAGGACTCACCAAATGCACTTGGAAAGGAAAACTGAAATCACATACACACACAACAGACGGTGCACGGAGACTCCGATTTGTAAGCACAGTATGGTAACACTGATAAATACTTTCTACAACTTTGAAGTGACTCACAAGAATATAGACCCTTGAAGACTACAAGATGGGCCTTGCAATAGTCGGCATTAGAGCAAAAGGATTTCTTTCAATAAAATGGGAGTTGAAAATTGACTTGGATTATTTAAAATTTAGTTTTTGAATACACAAGTGATGTTTTTAATGAAGAAAGAACTATTATCACCAAAATATATTGGAAGAAAAAAAATTTGTTCTATTATTTATTTTATAATTAATATTTTAGTACTAAATATTAATAATAATGCTACTAGGCTTGATGAACTATATATGAACTATATTACATTTTTTCTAAAGTTATATCTTCTTGGTTAGATTATAGATTTGAAGTGTTATTTTATTTGAAATAAAAATGTTTTTTTTTTTTTTTTTTTTTTTTTCTAACATAGAACTTCTGTTAGGATTTATAAGATAATTATAGACCTTCTATTAGATTACAACCATTACCACTCTGTTATTTTGCACATGCAAATAAAGGTAAGAAGTTTTTACTTAACAATAATTAAACACTTGATCAACTATTCTGTTTTGTTTTTGTTTTTGTTTTGTTTTGTTTTTATACGTGATTTGACTATCTTTGTTCTAATTTCTTATTGAATTTTTTTTTGGCATCGTATGTTTTAATTGTCCAAATTTCACATTGACTTTTAATGCTTCATGAGGGGTCACAAAAAAAAAAAACCCAATATATTATCATGTTCTGCATAATATCTTTTTACTAAATATTAATAATGAAAATTTAAGAACGTATATCAACCATGGAAAATAATTTTGCATCTTTAAAATAAAATAAAATAAACACACACACACACACATTAAAATCATGTTATCAACCAAGTAGCAATAGAATTCTTAGTACCCAAGAAGTTTGAAAAGGTAACACGAGTGTCATAATATGAAAAAAAAAAAATCATTTCTAAATGAGATTAATCCCCAAGACCCACCTGGATCGATTAATTGCATGAAGCCCAGGCCCTTTAAGAACTCTGGCATCGGAACACCCTCCGATCCGTAGTATTCGACTATCGAGATGGATCCTCCACACTGAGCATCACTACAGAAGTAACGGCAATTGGGATCCTTTCTTCCCAGCTCGAATTGGACGCTTACGATTGACCCACGCAGAACCAAATCTACGGCCCACATGGCTCCGAAGTTCTAAAGAGGGTCATTCTTGGTGGGGTCGCGCAGTTGCCTTCGTTGTCGAGGTTTAAGAATCTGATCGCGCAATTTTTCTGGTTCGCGATCGTTGCAGCGTTCGATTCGTGTTGTCCCTGACAGAGCTGCTTGAAAAGTAGCTTCTGATTACACGGGAGCGACGCTGTGGTTGAGCTAAGAAGGTGGGTCGAGTTTGATCAGTGTCGTGTTGGTGGAATTCGTATGATTCATTTGATGAGTTTCCTTGCAGAATAGGCGATTCTACGCAGTGAGTTGCTTCAGTGTGGAGCGAACCGAGAGTTTTTGAGCTCTGGTCAAGGTTCAGTGGGTGATTGCAGATTGAGCCACGTTAAATTTTACGCTGTATGTGATGCAGGGACAAGTGTCGTTGAGAGCTTCAGTGCAGGAGAAGTGAGCTTAGTTGTTTTGCATTGGAGCGATTGCTGGAGTATCGAATTTTTTCCGTTGGGGTTTGAGAATGGGGTGCAGTAATGTCGTAACTGGGGTGGTGAATTTCCTCATGTTGATGCTGTTGTTGCCGATAATCGGGTTCGGGGTTTGGTTGGCGAAGAAGCATGATTCTGAGTGCGTGCGGTTCCTGCAATGGCCGGTCATTGTTCTGGGAATGTTTGTTCTGGTGGTTTCAATGGCGGGACTCTTTGGGTCCTGGTGCGGGAACAGGCCTCTCATGTGGACTTACCTGTTCGTCATGTTTGTCCTTATTTTCCTGCTCTTCGTCTTGACACTTCTTGCATTCGTCGTCACCAATTCTGGAGCAGGACGAGTTGTGTCAGGGAAAGGATTCAAAGAGTATAAGCTTGGAGATTACTCCAACTGGTTGCAGAAGCGGGTGGATAACCCTTTATATTGGTCCAAGATTAAGAGCTGCTTAGCTGATGGTCAGGTGTGCAGCGATCTATCTCAGTATGCCACAGCAGATGTCTTCAATAACGCATCTCTTACCCCTGTTGAGGTAATTTGTTCCCCAGCATTGCAGCATTTCCTTTCTCAGCTTTTGCTTCCAATTGATTGACCCCGAAGTACTTTGGTCCGAAGTTTTAAGATAAATTGTTTTCGGACCATCTGTGTCGTGGTAGAATGTGTCGGAATGTATCAATGCAACACGTATCGTAGGTTCTTCATCTACCATCACACCCACTAGTGTGCTGATGTAGTCTCTTAGCATGTGATTCAAGTTTTCCACGAAAAGTTGATGGTGCTCACGTAGACCAACACGACTAACAAACAACTACGGATGCTTGTCCATGTGTTTGCAAAGTCTGGATGCTGCAAGCCAAAATCAGACTGCGGGTACACCTTTCAGAATGCCACAACCTGGCTCGGAAACTCATCAGGGAGTGCAAACGCTGACTGCCGAGCTTGGAGCAACACCCAAACCCAGCTGTGTTTTGATTGCAATTCATGCCGAGCTGGTGTGCTGCAGAATGTGAAGTCCAACTGGCGCAGAGTCGCAGTCGTCAACATAATTGTGCTTGTGTTCATAATATTCGTCTATTCCTGTGGATGCTGCGCTTTAAAAAGCTCTAAGCGAGAGCAAGATAATTTCAAGTACAGGTATGGATATGCTTAGTCCCAACTAACAACCAAAACATATACATATATATATATGTGTGTGTGTGTGTGTGTATAAATGGCTACCAGTAGCATCAAACGCCTGCAGGGTTTTAAGCCATACTTACACATGAGGCAACACGCTTCTGCTAAAGATTGGGCCAATCGTCCTCAACTTATCTCGGTACCTTTAAGAAGGACGCCAAACGAGTCCCGCATCGAGTTCACTCCGGATCCGCAATTCACAATTCTGCTTCTGTTGGAGATGTGGTGCGATCCTCCATGAATTTGTTTAGGTCATGTCTAGTGCTATGACTATTTTATAGAAATATCTGGGTGCACATGCTTCACAGGGAATGATGCTACGGCACATCTAATCAATGACAGTGCTGATGATCACAATAGAGACTACACAAGGTGATAAATCGATCCAAAGCTGGGATATCTGAGAGCTTATCAGACCCTTAGTATGCAATTCCGAAATCTTAACTGAATGCTCAAGACTCATCCGTTCTTTCATTTTGTTCAAAGTCAATAGAATAGCTTCAACAAATGTAAATACCTTGGTTTTATGGTTTATCTCAAAAATGTCGAGTGGGTTCCACTGAATTGAGTACAAAGTGATGGGCTGATGTGAGAGTTAAACTTCAGTGGTGCTGCTTTACTTATGTTAACTCTATACTGAAATGAGTGTTTAGATTGGTGTAAGAATAATGTATTTATCACATATGTGAAAGGTGTAAAGTTTCAACTTGTATTGCCAAAAACGGCAGCTCATTAACATTGTTGTGTTCGTTTAAGATAGACAGATGACCATTCATTCCCAACTAAGTCATGTAATGAAGCTAATTAAGAGGATTTTGTAACGTCATTTGTAGCATTTATTCTAATTCCGTAAACCAATTTGATTTTAAGTTGTATAATGTATACATGATATGTTTGAACATCATATCATTCAGCAAGCTTTCTTAAGTTATTTAGAGAAATTCGTTTTAGAATTGTATAACACATGCTTAAATTGATTTAAAAAATATAATACTTCAATTTAATGAACAATATTTTCACATACGTACATGTTTCAAAATTCAACATTACTTATAGCATTTATTTGTCACTTGCAAACAAGACAAATAGTTAAATCATAGCTTTGCCTTTGAGATCAAAATCAACTTTCTATTCTTATTTTTGATGTATTTATACTATATTTTATTGTACAATATTCTATACATATACATTAAATATCAAAACAAAATTTGACAAAACATTCTTATAAAGACTTGTAATAAAAAAAAGTAAAAAAAAAATCTTCATCAGGATTTTTAAGTATAGTAAAAATGTAAAGAAATAAAAATATGTAAAACATTCTTAAAGCATGAAGAAGGAACAAAACATGTTCACTACAAAGAAAGAAAATATTTATAGCTATTTTAAAATTTGGTATATATAAATATATATAGAGAATTATTTGCAAGCCATTTGAAAGTAGAAAGATGTTATTAAAAATAAATTTACAACATTTTCAATACTTAATTAGAGCACAATAGCTTTATCTACATCTAACATTATAAAACTTTATAAGTTACTTGGTTAAGTTTATTCTTAATATTATAAAAAAGTTTAATTATTTTAGTTTTAATTGAGATATTTAGTTGAGAAAGAAACATAGTCTTATATTTTGTCAAAGTAGAAGAAATATCTTGGTGAAGGTGATGGCTCTTTGCTTGATTGTAGTTGACCAACACCATTAATTATAATGATGTCATCTTTGTAATAACTATGCTCTAATAAGAGTTTTTTCACATTTCAATAATATTTTTATTTTTTGTAGAATTTAACTTTTGTAATAATCAAGTTGATTAGGTGTGATTCTTCTTTTAATTTTATGCCTACCTTTCAAAAAAAAAATTGGTAATATATTTGAAGTAGTTCTTTATTTGCTTTATATAGAATTTATTTTTGATATTAATTAATATATCAATTATTATTTTTAAAATTAGATTTTTTTAAAGTCAATTTATTATTTATGTCTATTATATAATGTGCAACATTTTATCTTATAAATTTGTTGTCTATGTTCATTATATAATGTGCAACATTTTGTCTTATAAATTTATTGTTATGAATTTTTTAAATGTATAAATTTATATATAAATGAGTTTAGTCTTTGATGGACCTTAGATAAATAACCTTGTTGACTGAGATATCTTCTACTTTATGATATATCAAAGTATAAATAAATTTTGATCGCTTGAGCAAAAGAATTTAGAAAAGGCTCATTAAAGTGATTAAATGAAAAAGATTTAGATGAAAATATATTTAATTTCATCTAAATTTATTTTCATCTAAATCTTTAGGAGTAATTTTTATATAAATATTTTCATATAAATTTATATATAAAAAAATATTTTTCACATCAAGTAGATAAAGTTATATTGTTTAAGTAATCTTAGCAAAAACATTTTGAAATTAAATTTAACAATAATAAATAAAGTTTGTATATAGTCTATGTCTTCTACTTGTATAAAAGTCTTGGTTATTAGTTGGGGCTTATATTTATCTATGGTTCTATTAGCATAGATTTTGATTAAATAAAACTATTTATAATTAATTGATTTTTTGTTTGGAGGTAATAGAATTAATTTTATTTGTAAGTAAAGATTTAAACTTTTAATTTATGGTAGGTTTTCATTTATATTCATAAATTCTTTCTAAAGTAATTTATAAGATAGTAGGAGCTTATAATAATACATATACTAAATTAATTTGAGATATTTTTTTATGTTACCAACAAAATGTTTATGGTAATGGTTTACTCAAGATTGTTTCAATAAATCTTTTGAATTTTTGAATCTTTTGTTGAAGATTAGACAATATTGGTGGTAGATTGCTATTTTTTTAAGTAGAATTAATTTAGTTTTTTCTTGAGATAATTCTTATTGATTATTTTTTAAAGAAAATTATAAAAAAGACTCTAATAGATTAGTATGGGAGAAATATTGGTAATTTCCTAAAGTTTTTAAATTATCTTGTAATAGATATATTTTCATGGATTTAGCCTATTAATTAATTCCAATAGATTGTCATAGAGATTAATTAGATAGAATTAAAGGTATTTTTGGATTTTTAAAAATGATTAATAGATTGAGATCTATTAATTCTTCTTTATTTTTATATATGCCAACATCCTATTTAATATAAATAGTTTTATAGAAGATAACATCTTAGAATATAATAATATTTTTTTAAAAAAGAATTCATAAGAAAATATGATTTAAATTCATCACTATAGTCTAAAAACATAATTGCAATAGAGTTCAATTCTATTTTATTTCTTTTTTATTTCTTTTTGAACTAAAATATAGTTTTTACTTCTAAAAAAGTTAAAAGAGTACAAATTTGGTTTATTTGTAAACCATATTTCAAAAAATATTATTTTTAGTAGAATTACTTTTGTAGGACTCATATTCTAAAGATAACTTATAGTTAAGAGTGCTTCTTAACATTAAGTTTTTTAAAACTTAGCATGTGATAACATGCTAATGCCACTTCCTTTAAAGGTTACTTTTTGTGTTCAAAAACACTATTTTTTTGATGTGAGTCTCTAGTAATAAATTCTTTTTTAATTCCTTCTTTGATACAATAATTACAAAAATTTTCAAATATGTAATTACTTGTACAATTAATTATTTTAGTTTTTTTTATAAAAAAATTATAATGTATAAATTTATCAAATATTTTAAATTTATATTGTATTAGGTGTATTTAATAAATTTTCAATTCCTTTAGCTATTAATTGAAGTTATTCCAAATTTTGTCAATTCAAATGATGAAGTTTAAGATAATAAAATTTAGATTTATTAAATTTTTTAGTTGTAAGAATAAAAATCATATTTTTTTTAATAATATTACTAAATTATTTAATTTATATAAATTATTATTTAATTCCTATGTTGCAACGATTTTCCATGAATTATTTAATAAAATAGGAATTTTAAATTTTATACAATTTTTTTACTATCTTTATTATGTTATTTGGTATTTTTTTAATTTTTTAATTTTAAACCATGGGACACATGAAACTTTAGGTATGACTTTCTCTATACCATTGAATAGTCTTATTTTAACATGCCTATATCTTAGAATTTGATATGATGTCATGTTGTTCTTTAAATACACAAATTATTTATTGTCATATTTTGTATTATAAATAAATTCATCTAATTGATAATACATGTATTATGTTGTTTTAGAATCTACATACCATAAATAAATAAAGTCTTGTTATGTGATAATTATAACCATATATACTTTGTGAGATTATATAACTATTTTTTATTTTTTATTTATTTTTATTCCTCTTGCAATAGAAATATTTTTTAATATTAATATATATATAGATCAAAAGATACTTTTATCATTTGAATTTAAAGTTGAATTTAAAAACCTTTTAAAGTTCTTATCAAAATAGGATTTTTTTTGCCATTTTTAGTATATTTGTTTTCTACATTAAAGGCTAATTTAATTTCTAATGTAAGATTCATGTCTTTCATCAACATCTCTTCTTGTATCAAATATGTTATCAAAAATTATAAAGTTATACATTGTTGTCTTTTGTAGGATTGAATACAAGTACTATAATTGAGATGTAGCCTTTATCATATCGAACCTCTAATCTTATTGCCAATATTTGTTGGATTCTAGATCTAAAATTATAAATATATTTAAGAATTTTTTTATTTTCTCTTGTCTTAAGAATGTGTAGCATTTCTTTAAGATGCATGTCTTGTGATTCAATTGCATCTAATAATTTCTTCAATGCTGTATGTGAAATTTGGCATAATTGAACATGTGGAATAATATGATTTTTAAAACAATTGTTAGTAGTGGTTAAAGAAATGGCATTTCTATATTTTCAATTGCTTATACTCTTTGCTCCTTTGGCAAATGAAGTTGGAGTTTCATTTGCCATCACCTTTATTATATAAGAATATATATTAATCAAGTTGGAGTTTCATTTGATTTTTAATCCATGCCACTGGTATGGATTCTTCACTACTTTTTAGAGACCATAATTTTTTGTTTTGAAAATTAATGTTATTTTCTGTTTTCACATGTTAAAATATGAACCATTAAACTTAGAAATTTGATAATTATCTAAATATAGATAATTTTTAGTTTTCTAGTTTTACAATAGAATAAAATTTAAAATATTTTATAAATTTTGAAGATATTATTTTAAGTAGTATATATATATATATATATATATATATATATTTCTTAGTTGTTTGTCAATTTTTTTTCAATATCATAGATGTTTTATAAAATTAAGGATTTTACTTTAAATCTAACAGTTTCATATGTATTAATAATTCCAAGTATTTCAAAGTGAAAACTTTCTTTTCAATATTTTTTTAATTTTTAAGAAAGAATCGCATTGAAGCTTCATTAAAGACTATTTTTTCTATGGTGATATTCAATGAAAAACCTGTAATGTTATTAGAACTTCATAGAAGATCACAAGTTTTCTTTGATACCTTGAAAAATTATAGAAACTGTAGAAATTATAGAAATTACAAATTTATTAATATTATAATTATATAAATGATTAACATATATTCTTATATAATGAAGGTGATGCTCTTTTAGAAGAGTCACAACTCTAGAATATAAAACTATATAATTTTATCAAATTACACAATAAGTATAATATTAATACTTATAAATGTATCCAATAAATACCAGATAGTTTAATAAGGCTGGTCATTAGCAAGTAAGTCTAATGTGACATTTTATACACCAAACGATTTTTGGGCATGTCTATAAACTATGTTAATTATGTTCTTTACAACTTTAAAATTTAGAATTTTTTGATTATGGAATTGCATTAAAAAGATAAATTTTTCAATTTTTCTTAACATTTTTTTGTGGCTTCTATTAAAATAAGTGAAATTTTCATGATTTAACTTCTATAAAAAAAGAGTGTTCTCAATAAGTAGATGAGGTGCTTTATGAAATCTCTATGATAATTGTGATTGCAATAATTGTTATAAATAGCATAAGAATTATTTCTTGCATAATACTGCCATCCATCTAATCTACTTAGTGTGTCCAAGAAATTAAACTAAGTTATGTTTTATACTTCTTTTAAATAATAATATTTGATTCTTTATCAAATATTATTTGAATTTCATATATAAATTTGAATAGATTGTTTTAAAAAGAAATCAACTTTATAGATTCTATCAAGTTTTATTTATAAGATTTTATTTTTTTCATAATTCTTACTTTATTACTTATTGGTAGTAGCTTGAATTGTTTTGATAAAGCTTAAGAAATCCAAGCGATGTAATTATAAATTCTATTTTTTTATAGTTACTATATCAATTTTAAAAGAATATTTTTATTATCTAAATTAAATTCTAGATTATTTTTTTATTATCTATTAAATCTTAAATATCATAATACTTAAAAATCATAACAACATAATTTATTCATAATTTTAATTTTTTAATTTAATTCATACTTTGAATTTTTCAAATTTTTTATTATAGGTGTTTAAAAAAAGACTTATACAACTCTTTTGGCAAATTTATAAGAGCTCTAAAATTATAAATTTTATCTTTTGCTATCATATTATAAATTTTCAATATAAAATAAAGTTTATATAATATTAAAATATTATTTATAAAGAATAGACTTTATTATATAGTATTGTATAAAGTTATATAAGGACTTGTAATTTTTAATAGATAAGCTTTAGATCTAAGAGAAATAACAATTATGACTTGTATTATTTATTTATTCATTTATTATAAGTAGAAAGAGACTAAATAAAAGAACAACTTTAAGTCAAGCTCAAGCTCTTAAATCCACCTTTCAAGCCTTAAATAATTATTCTCTTAAAGTCATAGAACATCTTTTTATATTCTATTAGAAAATTACGTACTTTGGTGATTTTTTTGTTGGCTCTTTTGTATTGGCTTTTTATAACCTAATAAAAAAATAGCTTTTTAATGCATCTTTCTACTCTAGTATCTTTTATGTAAAGACATATCAAATTATTTGTAATAAAAATAGTATTTAAATATAATAAAAGAATAAGCTATATTATGATTTGAAATAATAAAAAAAAAATTGTTTCAATGAACATTTAAAATTTGTAGATGCTTATTACATTTAAGCAAGTTGTCACGGATATATGCATATAAGCCAATAATTACATGTATAAATAGGTAGAAATAAGTAAAAGTAGGTAAAAGTAAGTTAATTCTATAATATCTTCTATAGAAGCTTTCTAGAAGCTTTATAGACGCTGCTTTGACTTTATAGGTGTCTTTAATTGACTTTTTTGATTAAAAACGTGGTCAACAAGTTGGCCATGTGCCACACATGTTGTTAGCTTGAAGACCAAGCTAACTATGTGGCCACACATAGAAAAACTTACCTTGTAAGTCAAGGCATGTGTCCTACAAAGTCAATACATATTGGAGGTCTTATAAAACATCGCCATGTAGCCCCAGTTAGATAGTATATATAGAGACAAGAGTGAAGCCCTCTTCACTCTTGTCAACTCCTTTCTTGCTTCTAATCTAGTTTCAAGGGTCTCTAATTTACTTGTCTTTTGACAATAGCCATTCCAATTCCTTTCTTAATATATATATTTAGTTATTTCTATTCTGTCATCTTTCTTTGAAAAAAGTCTCACTTGTTTATTTTTTTTTATCAAGTTCTTGTCCTTGACACAAGCTCAAGCTTTTAAATCCATTAGTATCTTGTCAACTTTCAGCTTAAGCTCTTAAATATTAATAATTAAAATTTTAAAATAGATTTAGATATATATTTTTTTATGATATTAAAAGTTTATAAATGAAGTATTTAAATTTTATGTGAAACATAAAATATTATATATATACTTATTTCTTATTTTATTTTAATATAAATGGAATTAATTAGATTTAACAATTTTTATCTAAGTTTGGAAGAATATAAATATTAAATAAGAATTTTATTTATAAAAAAATTATAATTATCAATTCTTTAATTTTTAATTGAGTTAAATGCAATGGTAATTAAAAATGCCATGTATTGTTTAGTTATGGATTATGGTGTTGGTTTGTTATGATTCTTAAGTATTCTTATTAACAAAATAGTGGCATTACTTATTCAACTTTCACAAATAAAATTAGTTGGTTAAACAAAAAGATATTAATAGCAATTGCACTTTGAGTCTTATCTTCTATGAGATTTCTTAAATACATAGTCATGTTGATTGCATTAAAAGCATCATAATTATAAATTTAATTTCTTTGTTATGCATTTGGTAGATGTTGATTATTTTCTTAGAAAAGAAGAATTATAAGTTTTTAATTTTATTTTTTACAACAGATTTTTTTGTAGCATTCTTAGAAAATCTTTAAATTTCGATTTTTTAAAAAATAAGATGCTATTGACAAGACACTAGTGGTTTGGACCAAAGATTTCTACCCTTACAAATCTTTTGTTTCTTTTATTACATATAAACCTCTAGTACCTTGACAAATTCATTTGCTTATCATGCCATACTCTACTACAGTTATTTTTGATATTACACCTTATTCTTTTTTTTCATAATATTATTTATTTATAATTGAAATGTCAAAGCATGTGTTCTTAATATCAATTTAAATTATACCTTAAGTTATAAAATAATAACAGTTATTTTTATTAAGAAACAAGCAGATTAAAATCACAATCTCTTTAACTTACACATACGAACTCACATCCAATGCATAAGTTCTACAAAGAAAAAATGAAAAGTTTGTCAAATATGATGAGAGAAACACAGAAACTGATCCTCTAAGTTGAGATATACCAAGTTGTGAAAGAATTTAGAGGTCAATATTTAAAGCCCCATGTAATAAAGCAGAAATCAAAGAATTTGGATACAACACCTCAACCCACCACCAGTGTTAACTTTTTGAGATTTCTAAAATTTTGTGTCCACTAGCTGATGGGCAAAGGTGTTGGCAAAGTGAACATATCGAAGGGATTACCTTTATTATTCAGCTCTTATACAAAACTTGTTACATGCATTGTTGAAAACATTAGAAAACAATGCTGACCACGATATTTTAAGATTACAAATAGAAACTTAACTGTACAATGTTGATCTTGTATCTGTGAACTAATTGGCTTGTGAGAAGCCTGATAATTCCTAGTACCAATACCTTAACCAAAGTTGTTCAACACTTTATTGATAACGTGATCGCCGTAGACGACTGGTGTATACCTCTTGCTCTCAGCAGCTGTCGAATCCTGCAAAAAGCTAAAAGGCTCCACTCGAGCATCGAAATTTGGCTGCACAAAAAAGAATCATGACAATCGACACAAACCTCATTGGAATTAATACAAGGCAGAGAAAACATGCACCCCATAAAAGCGCTCACTCTTAGAGGTATTTTAAGTGAAAAGAGACCGCATTGAATACTAAAGCAGAAGGTTACAAGGGTACATTACCTCATAGAAGAAAGGAACAGACACCCGATACTTGCTGTCGTTATTCATTACCCGATGCAGTGTTGACTGGTACAAGCCATTCGTCCAGATCTGGGCAGTATTAACCAACCACAAATTCCTAGCCTTATGCATCACAATTACAATTTGTCTCTGTTTTCAAGATGCCAACCGGCGAAAAGAGGTTTACTATATCAATTACGTGTGTACTGATTGGTCCATAGATGTGCAGATTCCTGAGAGTAGCCTGTGGATACTGGTGTCTGTGCAGCTCGAAAGCCTTCATTATGATGCAAAGAACAGTAACAAAAACAGTTGGTTGAAGACGAAGTTGTCCATTCCAATTAGAACACAAGCATATCTCACATGCTGGACAAAGAATACATTAACTGTACCGTGAGCATGTCGCCAATGTTCACCACAAAAGTCCCTGGTATTGGATCCACCCAAATATATTTTCCGTCCTGGGTCTTCACCTGCAATCCGCTCAAGATCAAGTCAAGAAATTTCAAATAATGATGCCTTCAAAAAAAAAATTAAAATTAAAAGTAAACATTATTCATCCAAGTTGAGCCTGCACCAAAAAAGGTTAACTGAATTCTCCAGCTACTTGAGAATTTGACATTTAAAGACAGTTTACATCTATTGTTTATTTAAAATTCATTGGAAACTGTTTTCTTCTTATTTCTTTGTGGCAATTCAGGCTATGCTGGTAGATTATGATAAAGACATAATATGAAAATTAAAACAAGAATTTAAACGAAAATTGTTAATACTCATGTGAAGTGATATACGCTTGAAAGATTATGAGCAACAAAGTCAGAGGAAGAACTAACCTGAAGTGCAGTTATGTCTAGGTCTTGATTCACGAGAGTTAGCAGGCCTGCAGACCCTCAACATGATTTTCTCAGATTCTATTCAATAATATACCTCAGACGCAAATTTCAGTCAGGGAAATCTGGAACTAGAAATAAGAACTAATAAAAACTCGGTGATGTTTGTCCAGTGCACAAGCTGACAAATATACGAGGAAAGACAGGATCGCATGATTTCAGAATTCAAAGTGAACACATGCCATTTTCGATCATTGTAGCAGAACATTGAGAGAGTAACCTACCATAGTCAGTGTGATCGCCACTGTACGCAGTTATGTGCCACCCACCACCCCGGAACAACAACCCCGAGAAGAGTCACAGTTGAAATTCAGAGAGATAGGCTAAATAATTTGAGCAAATGACTTAGTTCACTGCCCTCAAGAGCAGCAGGCGAATAAATACTAGCAATAACTATAAAAGGGTGTATAATTAAAAGTGCATATAGGACAACTTTAACAGGCACCTTAAAACTGAAATTGCAAGAGTAGGTGGAGTACCATCCAACTTCCTCGCCATTTGGATTACTGAGACAGCTGAGGTTGCTTATTGGTGGATACCCAATCACTCTAAGTATCCAAAACGGGTCTCCTGCTCTTTCGCCTTCAAACAAATCTTTTGGTCCCCCAAGTGCTAAGGCTATACCTCGCATAATTGTCCTTGCCAGTTCTAGTGAATTTCCAATTAACAAAGTCATTACAAGTCCAAGTTTCTAGGAGAACAATGCACATATTGATTGCACAGGTCGTGTTATGACAATTTGCCACTTTGTTACATCAACATATAACTACATAAAGCATCATCTCTGGCAACCAAATACAGTGGACCGATCGCTGTGGATTTATAGATTCATTAACACCATCATCGAAAATAGGGTCCAAAATAACGAGCGTGAAAAAAGAAACAAGAATCTCAGATAGTGGAATTTAGTTGGAAGATTGAAAAGGAGTGCGCGGCACCTATCAGCATTTCTAAGTACTCTTGCACGAGCGGTCGAAACTTGCTCACAGAATCAGGCCTACATGAAATTAAAAAAATACCGAGGTTAAAACCACCCTCGTATCTTCTAAAAAAATCACTACAATAGTCTGGCAAACATAGACAGCCAGCTATTAACGTGTAAAGTAGTCCGACAAGAAAAAATTCCCTACAGAACTACAACAGCAATATATTATCATTTAACCTAATTAATACAAGGAGTTCATCACTCGTCACTAACTCCTAACTACAAAGAGAATATCCTTCATCACGACGAGTCTGAGAAATCTTCACTCCAGAAAAGATATGATAATGTTTAACAAAATACTTACCACTGATTCAGACCCACAAGAGGGTTCTCTGATCTCAATGCAACTTTTGTGGATTCAAACTCCTTGAAATACTGAAATAAGAAGCTCAAGCATTACTTTCTTTCAGATGGAAGAGAAGCTGCAAAATAAATAACGGCAGTGAAAGCGAGTCTAATTACGCTACTGTTGTTCATCAAGGTTGATTTTTAAAATAAAATAACACAGAATAAAATCTACTATTGCTAGAAAAGATTGAGCTACAAATTTACTGAGAACTGTAAACCAGTTTTTGCCCAAAAATGCGTCTGGTAGCCGTGTCATACATCAATAGCTTCATGCTGATCTGGAAGACCCTTTGTGACGTTCTCTCCCAGCTTCTGGTATCCTCTACATGCACACAAACCACACCAGTACACGTCTGTTTCGTAACATACATAAACAACCTAATGTACCGACGATAGAATTGTTTTCGCAAAAGTTTCAAACGTCCTTACGAAGCCTGCCAAAGGCTTGACATGAGGGATGCAGTCAGGTAAACAACCTGAAACCTGTGCTGCTGGACATGGCGATGCGCAGCTTCTGGGACTCCGGTTGAGAAAAAAACTCATGGCCCACGTCAAGTACAGCTTGACACAACTCCAGAGGAATTCCATGCCCGCTCTGTATCCAAATTTAAGAAGGTGAAGTAACCATTGCGAAAGACACATTTAAAGTTCATCACTTTTCTCTACATTTCACCACTTCAAGAATGATCAATTGCTGCAACTCCACAAAGTTTAGAGTTGCTCAAGTTCCGTTTTCATGGAAGTATAAAAGTTAGGACGATGCATACGAATTTTGAAATATTCCGGTACACAATTTACCATAACCAAGATATTGATGAGATTCCATACCACGTAGAAAAACCCAACGTTGCGGCAGGCAAGATCAAGCTGGTGCACTACATTCCTCACCTCTGGATCCTCTCTAAAGTCCTCATCACCCTTCTTCCGAACTAGCGGTCCAACATCTACATCCACGCAACTTTCATCAAATCTTACAGCCAACATTAAGCCGAGAGAAGATACTCCTATTCAATCCAATGTCACGATGCCTGCCTGTATATTGATTTTACTAACCGGCACTGAATGAATGGATAATTCAGAACCCTTCGGCCATGGACGTGATGAGGGAGTGAGAGCAAGTGCACACCTATAATAGGAATTGAATCAAACATGGCGATAAGTCAAAGGATGATAACCTGCGAGCTCCACTACCCTGCTAAAACAACAAAAGCACACGAGATTCTGAACGCAGAAGAAATCAATTCCAGCAGGAAATAATCAATTGAACGATGCACACAGACGCTTCATCTGACAAGTAAACTCTTAATTGCGTAGCCCACAAAGAACCCATCTGATGCCATCAATTCTTTTGTTCGAAAACAAGGTGCCAGTCCCGGACCTGGCTCCTGTCCCTGGATCAATCTCGCCGGCAGAGACACCAATTGTGAGAAATGAACAAGGGAGAGAGAGGTTTCCGTTTGTGGGTACCCTAACCTGATGAGAATCCCACAACTTGACATACGTAGAAGGGCCAATCCTTGGGGGCTATGAAATTGAGAGGCACAGATACGGAAACTCCGAGGAATTCAAGAGCAACAAGAAGACTTCGTCAGGAGCAAGTCTCATGGTGCATTGCATCTCTCTAAAACTATCAACACTTGTGCCTTCGTAAGTCTTCGTCTTGAGTTCAGTGCAGCCTGCCCGTCTCCCCATCCTTCAATTCGGCCTTACTATCCCTTTCACCTACCACAATCAAGTTGATCATTGATTTATTCCTATTCTTTGAGTGTCTCTTTATTGTTCGTTTTAAATAAAATTTGTTTTGTATTATACAAGAGATTTGAAAATGGAATTATCTTTACAAAAAAATAATATTGGTTTAGATTTCCACTTAAAATCTTTTTCCATTAACAATAGGTATGGCAAGCTCTTGTAGCTACCAATAATAGTTTGAATATATTGATCTTACAAGGTTTCTATTTGCTTAGCAGAATTTTGGATTAAATTATAGAAATTCAATTTATTTGAGGATTATATCTTTTTAATTATGTTAATTTTAAAATAATTGGATTAGAAGGATGTCTAATCACATTAAATATTATTAAATTATTATAACCACTAGTTGTTATTTCTATAAGAATAGTGTTATGTATAACATCCTCAATAGACAATGAAGAACCATCTATTACTTTTACATACTTAGGTTTGATTTTCTTAATTAAAAACATATCTTAATTTTAACAAATTCTTTGTTTATAAAATAAGTTGAGGCTTTTGAATCTAATAAGGCTAAGATTTTGTAATTTTTTGGTTCTAAAAAAACTTCTATTATAAAATAAGGTGAAAGATTTGAAAAAAATATATAATCTTTATTAGAAATTATATAAGATTTTAATTGCACAATCCCTATTATGGTTGGAAAAACTTATTTTTTGTTACATCGACTTTTTTGGCAACTATACTCCTCATTTTGTCATTGCGTCTTTTCTTTGGACAATGTTGAGAAATACACTTAGATTCTCTATAATATAAGTAAAAACTTTTTTAATCATAAGGAATCTTTTTTTATTCAATAAAAATTTTAAAACATACCGTATCAAATTGTATTGGTTTTGGCCTTGATTAATAGGTTTTTGAAAACTTAAGAGTTGATGTCATTACTTGACTTGTTCCTCTTCAATCAAATCTTTGTTCTAATACCTTTTAAATAATTGATTGTTGCATTCAATGGCTTGAGCAATAAATTATTCACCAGATTTTGCTTTTGATATTATCAATAATAAATCTTTGACATTGTCCTTCAATTTATATCAAAATTGATTAATAAGGACTTTGTAATTTCAATCTACATTATAAGTATATATAATAGTTGACTGTGATCCTTATGGTAAAGCTAAGAGCTTTGTCTCTATTTTCTTTCTTGATTATTTTTTCAAAATGTAGCTATAAACACTTCTAAGAATGAATTCAAATCATAAAAGAGTCATGAATCTTTTTCTATCAAAAGTGCAAACTAAGAGAGAGCACTTCCAAATAAAAATGCACCTATGAACTCAACTTGAATAAATCCATCAAAATATTGGAAGGGATGCAACCTTAGATAGAATTTGACTTGTTGCAAAAATCTTCAAAATTTTGATCTTGTTCCATCAAACTTGTTGGGCATACTAATCCATATCTCTATTGTACTTTTAGAAGTAAAATATCTTGGATTTGGTTGTGAAGTTGATCTACTTACTTCTTTTAACTACAAAACTTCTTCACAAAGAGTGTGAACTTCTTTCATAGGCATAGGATTAATATTTCCATAGATGGCAGTGGTGATGCATGAAATTTCTATCCTAAGAGTATTAATAAGTTTGTGAAGATTTACAATAGTTACAAAACTATTTTCATTTCTGCCAAGTAAAGCATCTATAATTTTTTCTTCTATTTCAAGCAATTTAATAAATCCACAAGTCAATTTAGAAGAGGGTAATCTACAACTTCTATTGTCCAAAGAGGGATAATCTCTCTTTTTAAGGTAAAAAATCAATGTTAGAAAATTAAACAATTTATGTAAAAGTGGATAATCTAAAATCTTTAAAATACAATAATATAAGTGGAATAATCCACTCATTTTTAAAACAAGATAAGAATAATAAATTAACACTTTTATCAAACTATCAAGGACATAAAATTTAAAGAAAGAAATCATTAATATACTCTTATGTCACTCAAAAAGACTAAAAAATCACTCAAAGATGAAATAATATTAAATTAGAATGCGTATTGCCAAAGACAAGAAGATTAAAAAGTCTTAAAATAAGACTGAAGATTAAAAGGGCATTAACAAGAATGAAAAAGGCTTCACTCTTGCCTCCATATATATTCTTAACTAGGAGTTACATAGAGATATCCTATAAGACATCCAAAACATGTTGATTTTGTAAGATACATATTTTAACTTATAAGGCAATTTTTATATATGTATGCCACATAGTTGGCTTGTTTCTCAAGCTACCAACACTTGATTAACTTGGTGATGGAGTTTTTAACTTATTAATCAATTACAAACATATGTAAAGTCATAACAACATCTATGAAGCTTCTAGGAAGCTTTTTTAGAAAGTATTATGAAATAAATATACTTTTATCTATTTCTACTTAATCATGTAAGTAATTATTAGAATAAATATGTATGTATGTAAAAATATATTTTTCTTTTTTATTGATGTATTATAATATGGCTATTATGTGGAAAAAAAAATATAATCATATTATAGAAAAACTCAATTAAAAGTATTGTAGCAAGTTATCTTAAAAATATAGATACTAAACAATCAAGTAGTAAAATTAATAAGTATTATAGAATAGATATTAATTCGTTTTTGAAAGATATTGATAAAATATACTAATAGTTCATACAATAGGCAATTCAGGACGACAAATGATTGATTTAATTATTAAAAGTGGTTAATTACAGAATTACGGTTAGAATCTGGAAAATCAAAGGAAAGTATGTAGGAGTTGTAGAAGTTAGTTTAAGGGCCAGACTATGATAGTCATGAGCCAAGATAAGCTTAGTGCTACCTCTTCCTTTATTTATTTCTTGGATTTTTTTTTCTTTGTAGAAAAAGAATTATAGATAGTTTCTCAAAAATATGAAGTAATGTTCTAGAATGAAAAGAGATTCGATATTGTCAAAGGAAGAATTCGATTTATTGAATGTTGAATTATATAGTGGTGAATTGAAAGAGAATAATTAAAAATATTTGAGAAGAATAGATATGAATGGAAGGATTATAATACATTGAGTATTGAAAATTGAGAGTGATTCATTAGAAGGAATTTGTAGAGTTTGGAATTATTTAAAGGAGTGTGTTGAGAAGAATAGTTAGTAGTGAAAGATTCTAGTGTTTGGATTATGGAATGATTATGTATTGTCTTTTAGAATAGTGTGGGATTACACGTTTGTTATTATCAGTGATGGCGGAGTACTATTAGGAAGTGGAAAACATTATGGTGTTCCTTGGTGTTTTCAGTGGTTCGGAATACAATTAATTGTGTGACCTTAATAAGTAGAACTCATGTGCTTAGTCTTTCCCTCCGTTTGAATCTCCCTCTAAAAGTTTATTCTGAAAGGAATTTGTAGAATAAGTAAAATAATAATTACAAGTACTTAATATTGTTTTTTTATAAAATGAGCTTCTATTTATTTTATAAGCCTATAAATAAGATAAAATAAGATAAATTAGCAAAATTAATACTATAAGCATCTTTGGATGATAATGAAGAGTACTTTTTGGAAAAATATTTTTAGAAAAATCTTAGATTCATACTTAGAAAGAATCTATTATAAATCAAAGTCAAAACCAAAACCTAAGACACAAAACTACATGTCTATTGTAAATAGAGGATTTTTTGTTGATCAAAGAAAAGGATTCTTTTGGCATTGGTTTTGAGTGATTTGAATTTGTAATATCTTTATAAAAGCTTTGCAAAGTCAAGGTTGTTTTGGAATAACCTTGGTTTTTGAGAAATAAAAAAGATTTATACCTTAAAGCATTTTATAAGATTTGTAGTAGATTTGTTATAGTAAGATTTGTATAATTACAAGAATTATAAGTTTGTGATCACAATTATATCAAATATTTGTTGTAAATTTGAACTTGATTAAGTGATTAATTTCAAGATTATTGAAATTGAAGTAGATTGAAATATCAAAAATTGAAGCTTAGAAGACAAATAAAGGTTTTTAAGATTTGTAGCAATCTATCAATAGAATTGAGGTAATTTTTTGCCTATTAATAATAAAAAATTCTATAATTTCTTAAATCATAGAATTTATTAAACAATAAAATCAAGAAGTATTAGCATTGAGAATTTGGTAAGAAAATTAAAAAATATTCAAGCAAATTATGAGTTTTATTTGTTAATTAATAATTTTAATCTTCTTTAAATTATTTATACTTATTTTCAATTAAATGATTGAAAGGTGTACAAATTTTGAGTCAAAATCAATGATTTGATTATTAATTATTGAAATTTGAATATTTTATAGTATTTATTTAAGATTTGATTAAAGTTAAGATGTAGGATTTAGAATTTGACTAAGATTTAGAATTTAGGATTTGATTAAAATTTTATCAAGGTTTTATTATGGTTTGAATAGAATTTAGGATATAAGATTTGATTAGGATTTGTTTAGGATTTTATTAGAATATAATTTAAGTATATTAAAGATTATTTAAGGATTATTTTAAAATTAATCATAATATTATAAGATTTATTTAGGATTTTTTAAAATTTAATAGGATGTACTTACAATAATTATAAGCTTACTTAGATTATTCAAGGATGCCAAAGGGTATTTCTAAACATCTTATGTATTATTTTGGGTTGTAAATCAAACTTCAAGGTAAGTTCAAACTCTTCCACAACTTGATGTCTAATACATTTTTAAGTTAGATTTCACATAATATGACATTACAATATTTTTATTTAAAAAAAAAAACCATTATTTACAACATTTATATTCAAATTTATTTATAATTATCAACATAGTGTATATATGCTTTAATAATCAATAATAGATAATATATAATCAAAAATGTCTTTGCCATTGCTACAATATTTGTAAGCAAGAAGTTAGGTTCATATAACCTTTTTTCTTCTATTTATTGAAGATGATGTTTGAATTCTAAGTATTTTTTGATGTAATTCAAATTTCATTGTGTTCAATGGTTTTGTAAAAATATTAGCCATTTGTATATTTGTATTAATACAATATAATTTAATTTCTTTTCTAAAGATCCTTTTAAAGATGAAATGATGATGAATTTCTACATGTTTTTTCCCTACATGAAAAATTGAATTTTTTGTTAGTTTGATTGATCTTTGATTGTTGTAGTATATATCTATGCTGTTGTAATAAATTATTCTAATTCTAAGACTATATCCAAATACTCTCTTATTGATGAAATGGTGGTGAATTTTAACGTATTTTTTCTTTGCATGAAAAATTGGATTTTGTACCAACTTCATTGAGCCTTGATTATTACAATGTATTGCTATAGCATTTGTAATATTTTGTTCTAAGTAGATGTAAAATATATTTAGCTACTTCTAAGTGAGTTGTTGAAAGAGGTTACATAAAACTACATACTTTGCTTACTGCATAAGAAATATCTAGTCTTATAAATGTAAAAAATATTAATTTTTAAGTAATTGGCAAAAATATGTAACTTTGCATAGAATAGATTTCGTATTGTTAATTAAAATCAAACCAAATCCTAATAGAACCATCACCAAATCTCAACTATTTTTTGGATTATAAGAAGAATTTTAAGGTTAGTTGAAATCTTTCTACAATTTAATGCTTGGTGCATTTCTAAGTTGATTTTTAAATAACACAATAACATTATAAAGCAACTTCAGCCATGTCTCTTTGTAAGGAAGTATCTTGGATATAATTGAGTTAGCTCTTACTTGTTAGTTAGTTTTTCTTATATTGTTTTTTAATTATCAACTTTTTGCTGCTATATGTCTTTCTTGTGATGCATTGGTAGCTAGACATGTTTTGGTAGCATGATTTAAAGTTGTGCCATGGTTTGAAAAAAGACTAGTTTTAATGCAAAAATTAAGAATAAAAAATATGTTTTCATTTTAAAGGACATTATAAAAAGCAAATATAGTATATTAGTAAGGCCTAAAAGAAATTAATGATGATTACATTATTACAATTAACAATTTTGATAATATAAGTAATACATATTAATCAACAAAGAATAAAGAATGAAAAAAAAAAATAATTCACATTGGTTTAATTTATGTCATTTAAGATTATCTTATTTGAATATATAAAAAAGGAATTATGGATCTCTAAAGTAGTTATGAAGATAGAGCAAAAAATTGTATCAATGCATCTAAAAAATTTAGAAAGTTTATTAATAATAAAAAATAAAAAATAAATATGATAATTTTTTTTACTAATATCCACATAAAAAGTTAGTGATTATGTACAATATATTTATCTAAATCAACACATTGTTAATATAAATAAAAATAAAATAAAATGAAATAAAAAAATTTAAAAAACAAGACTATCCATAAAAAAATCTTTACTTCTTAAAATTCAAAAACTATTATAAAAAAAATAAAATAGAAGATACTATATTATTTTTATCACAAAATATATTTAAATATAAATAATAATAAAAATTAAACAATAAGAAAAGGTTGCTAGATTTTAGAAGAATAGTATTTATTTTTAATAAATTTTACAATGTAGTAGAATAAATTTGAATGTAGTTTCAAAAATGTTTATCTAAACAATGTTGTTACATGAATAAGAATTATATTAGATAATACTTAATACAATATAACATGTTTTATATCATAAAATCTTTTCAAAATATTGTTTGATGTAAATTAAAGAAGTGTTAATTAAAAATGAAGTATTTTTTGTACAAATAATTTATAATTTATTCATAAATTAATATTTATAATTATTTTGTCAAATTTGTACTTCTACAGGATTTTAAAGAATAATTCAAAATTGAAAAAATAAAATTACATAATATTTTATCTTAACAAAGAAGACATTCTCAAATATTAAGAGTTATATTATCAATTAGACACAATCTTCTTTAATAAAAGCCATGCTTTCACTTTTTTATTTCAATATTTTGCAAATAAATACTACTAATTGAATTCTAGATATAAAGATAAATTCTATAGTTAATTAATTGAAATCTCTATTAAACTTGATGTTATATACTATAAAAAACAATTATAACCTTTTGTATTAAGTTTTACAAATAGTAATTTAAATATGCTTCCTAAATAAATACTCAGAGTACATTAAAAAACTTATCATAGATATGAATTGCATAAAAAATGTATTTTTTAAGACACCACAAAGTTAATACGGAATCTTTCTTCTAATTCAATGTAGTAAATGTGAAAATTAAAACTACATACCCAAAAATGACAATTTGCATACAACTCTTTGAACTATCAAGTAAATAACCAATCAAAAACCACAAAAATAATCAAAAATGATGCAACCAAAAATAATCAAAAACAAATCATAAATATTGATTTATTTTTTAACATGGTTTGAACATACATGTGACCATCAATTGTAAGTAAATTGTGTGAAGATTGCATGCCAATCCTTCCTACTTAAATGGAAGTTCTATGTAACTACTTGTGAATTAACTAATTCTATTTCAACTTAAAACAACATTGTGCATGAATCTTCATTAACATGTATATTCATACATACAAAAGAGTAGATAGTCTATACAAATGAGTTGAAAAAATTACGCATAGTTGTAGTCTTGAGAAGCAAAATGAAGAACCCACTTTGAACTATATGAAGAAGTTGGTGCTCATAGCCCCATTTCCAAAATCAATAGACGCCTGGCTTGCACAATGACAAGCACAATGGTATTATAGAAAATGTAACAAACTTAATTTGTATGTTCTTTAGAAACAAGTAAAATAAAATAATAAAATAATAAAATAAACTTCATCTACTTAGTAATCAAAAATATTATCCAAGGCATCAATACTAATATCCATAGAAATATCCTCACCATCTTCTTCCATAGACAATCGAATGTACTCAGTGTGTGCAAATCGATCCCATTCAGTTAAAGTAGGATCTTCCCTTTCCTAAAACAAAATCAAACAAGTTTTCAAAAGTATTAAGTAGCAAGTCAAACCAATAAATGCAATTGCTAATATTCATCAATAATCAACATGTAACAACAATAAATCAAAATGTTGGAAGCACAAAAAATGTTGTCAAATTCATTACCAATCTTATCAAAAATGGATCTCTTGTCTCAAATGCAACAAACTTGTTCAAGTTGAAAAGTATGTTAAAAAAATTTCCAGAGAGTTTACAATTCTTCAAGTCTGAAAGTGTAAGATAGCCATTTTTCTGTAAACCAACAAAAGAAACATAAGAATCCATAAAATCCTAGTAACTTTTTTAGCAACAAAATTTAAAAGCTCTCTAATATTAGGTAATTATGCACACAATCAATCTAAATCCATGCAAAATTACCTTAGGTTTGATCATATCACACATTTGACAAACAATGTCTTCAAATAAAATTGCTTCTTGTGCCATACATTCCATTCGATGTAATTGCTCCTCATAAAAATAATGCATTTCATTTGCAGTGATCACCCCATCACAATCTAAATCCACACACTTGAACCTAATTTTATTTTCACCACTTGTTAGATAATCATTAAATATAGATATATCACAATGATCATGTTTAAGAATTCAAGCTTGTAAAAAGAAATAACTACATGGGAGATAATAAAATAAATAAATTAATAAATAAAATTAAAAAGAATAAGAAAAAAACAAAAAAATTACCAATAGTCAAGGCTAGTCTCAGATGTTTTATCTTCTTCTGATAATATAAACCACACAAAATCCTCATATCCCATTTTTCCTTCAACTTTGCTTTTGAACCTTCTTGGTATCTATTCATCACAAAACCAAATATATTAATGGCCTATGAGAAAAATAAAATACCTAAACCAAAATAAAATAAGAATCTACAAGCATCACATGTTAGAATAATATACCAAATATTACAAATGTAGTATGAAAATTAATTTTTTTCAAATTTATTGGACAAAATAAATAAATTAAATATAAACCTTTGTAACATGTTCTCAAATAATAAATGAAATATGATGCTAAGTAATATCAAGCTTGCAAAGATTGCATTACAAATAAAGACAAATACCTCATACCTGAGAAAAAATGCGTTCTACAATGCGGTATGTGAGTGCATGGTTACCATATCGCAATAAATCATCTTTATCAATATAAAAGTCATGATCACAGTCCAATTCCCAAAACTTGCAATAAATAACATAGAAATGTTCGTATGAAAAATACCTACAACACATTCAACGCATGTCATATCTTGGTTAAGATATAAAACAAGTAGATAACAAATCGAATTTGAAAAAATATCTAATTCAACTATTAGCCAAATATACTTTAACATTTCTATACATCCCAAAATAAATAGCTATGATGTATTCAAACTTGATGACAACACTTAATGCAATCCACCTAAAATTCATACATCAGACCTTTCAACCTCCAAATATGAAGTGGGATGAGAACTCACTTCAAGACTTTATTAATTTCCTCCTCTTCATCCACTTGATGCAATGCAGCAATTAAATTGCTTCGTTTGATTTCTCGAAGCAGCAAGCGCCCATTGCCAGCCTTGTTGCAGTGATAGAAGATTCTAAATATCACTGTTTCCGCTGCAAAGAATGCCAAACAAACATTCAACGAAAAAATTAAGTAAATATGATTTTAAATGACTCAAATCCAGAAAAGACATGAGGTAAAAATGAAGCCTTCACTGTTCCGGAAAATAGTATAACAAATCACACATGGATGAATCATTAAGTTACACAGTATCTCGTACCATATCTATCTTGGAATTCAGGCGTATCATGCAGGAACTCTAAACCATGATGCGTAAGTAACAGCTCTCGTAATATGGGTCTAAAGTCCTCCTGATCACAAAATAATCCACTCATAAGTTTTTTGGTTGTAAAAAATCAACTCTTCCTTCAAACCCTAAATATACACAATCACCATTAATTCAAAAACAATCAATCAATCAATCGTCGACCTGTGATCTTTATATGAATGTAAAAGACAATAGTAATAATTTGAAAATATAAAAACCTGCATAAGATAGTCTTTGTCTTGCTGCTTTAAAACTGAAAAGATCTTTGTGGCATCATCTGCTGTTAGCATGTTCTGATCAATCCAGTACTCTATCATCCTTTCCCTGCAACATACAAAAGTATTCAGTTGTGTCGTACCACATGCACTAACCAGCCATCTGTTTGGATCTTCCTTGCTGTTCACAAACTGAAAATGGTTTCTTGAAACTAGCTGTCAATGGAAAAGTAAACGGTGGGACCATGATTGCTATCTGTAAATTTAGAAAGCATGTATGTGTACTGACTTTGTGACCAAACCCGTGTTGTTGATGTCGAGCTTCTTAAACAATGCGCTTGAAAAAAAAGACGGTAACTTGCAAATCTCCTTCGTAACTGGCATGAATGCTGCAATTAAAGAATAACAAGGAAGTAATCAGAACATTGTAGCAGTCTTTCGTCATCATTTCTAACCTAAAAATGTGAACGACACACTATAAGCAAACCGTGTTTATAAATAGGCCAAGGTTGAAAACGAACCAGAAAGTGGGAGACCATCAGGATACGAGGAAAATATTTGATTGATCCGATTCACACATTCAGCATACACTTCTTTTGAGGCAGGCAGTCCTCTGGGGAAATAGAACTGCGAGCCACCAATCCAGAAGGATCATTAATACAATTTCTGTTCCGTCTAACAAATTTAACTAAGATCTACAGTAAATGTCAAGCAGATCCTTTAGCATCGGGATGAAAATGTTACTGCCAAATCCTCCGCAAGACGTAATACAAAAGCCCTGCACATTGTTATCTACAGTGCAGGACCCCATAAGTAGACAGAACATTGATTTGCTTGTTATTGTATAAAAAATTTAGATTATCCGCCATCAGTAAATCTCGTAAACTATTAGGGGTAAACCCATCCAGCAGCAGAGGAATTGAACTACAAAATCAGCTTCCTAGTCAAGAAGGTTGTACGTCGGTGTCGATGGCCAACCTGTGAGATACCTGTGGAATCACTTCCCGAGTAGGGTCACTGCTTTTCCTTAGAGGAGAGCCAGAGAGGGGATGTCCACTCAAGCGCCTTTGCGTCCTCGGTGAAAGTGGGTAATTGCGAGGTGACAATGGTGGAGTACTTCCTTCCTTGAATACCGTTGGAAGTAATGATGTTTGTGAAGTTTGATTAGAACAGTTTTGATTTCCTGAGGATGGCTCTGAATGGGCTTCTTGAAGCAGAGTCATGACCTGGTTAATCAAGATAAAATATTCAATTAAAAAAATTAATGAGGCTTAAAATAATGAAATGAATGAATATCCTTCCCGTAGATTCTTGGCTTTCCTTAAAAGCCGTATTCAGCTGCAAGTTGACTCAAATCTACCCTCGCAACCTAAAGATTGATGCAATTTCCATTTGTACTGTCACAAAACCTCGGTGGTAATTGGAGAGATTCAGAAGACACACGGTAACGGAGTACACATTAAAAGTCTTGATTACGACTGTCTGTAATACTCACTTGCAGCACAATTAAAACTTCGTGAACGCAATATTTGAATGAGCAGAGACTTGACGTATTGAGACTGGAGAGTGAGAGAGGAGACTGATTCAGATGACGAGGAGGACAAGAACAAATCAACTAAAACAAAATGTTACCTAGAATGGTAGCTAGCGAGAAGAACCAGAAGAATGATAAGTGCAAACTAGAGGGAAGTTTTCGTACATACCACACGTTGAGTGTCGGGTAGAGAGAGCCATTGTGTGAAAAGATCATCAAGCAGCTTTTCAGCTGGTTGACCAGAAGGCGAGGGTAAGTCATGAGGGAGCTGCAACAAGTCCGGGTCCAGGATTCTCACTTCGACTGCCATTGGTGTCTCCATACCACTATGTATGGCAACCACTAGCACAATCACAGAGCTTGGCTGCCTCCCTTACTACGGCCAGTGATCAATTAGCTATGAGGCGTCCTCCCGCTGACTTTCACCGCATAAATCTTTCCGTGAGTAACCTAGACAATAATAATTAGGCGAGACACGACATTAAACGATTTGTGTAAAAATAGACCTGGAATGCTCCAGAAGGCATAAAATATTCCCTACACTTAGAAAATCAATCTATCATCTGACCCCAAAACCAAGCGCCCTGGGCTAAAAATCTAGAAACACAATCAACACCAACACGATGATATGAACAAGAAGCGAAGTCTCCAAAGGCGCCACAGCCAGGAATCACAGTCTAAGTACGAAATCAAAGAGGAGCCCGTAACGACAACAATCAATACACCGATTCCAAGAGAAAAGTTCCAGACTACGACATGAAAGGAAACACATGGCCTAAATCAGTTTTCTCGCGAAAAAAAACCTCTTCCTCGTCTGCCAAACGCTCTTCTCTCGCAAGGAAGGACAAAGCAGCACGTTGCTTCTTCTGTCCTGAGGCACCGCGACACCAAGGCTCAAAAGCAGCAAAGACAGGAACAGAGCAGTAGAAGAGTAAACTAAACTCGCGCAAGCGGGAACAAAGGCAACGCGCGCGGGTTGACGAAAGTGCGGAAGAATCGCACCGGCGATTGCAGTGCTTGCATGCACCTCACTTCACTTCACTCGCAGGAGAGTTGTAGCGGGGGAGAGACAAATAGTGACGAAGCGGAAGATCAGGGGCAAGGTTCCGCAAACATGAGCGGGATGACAGGGGCAAGGGGAGGCGCGGAGGCGAAATGAAAGCGGGAACAAGTGAGGAGGAGCAGGAGGCAGGCAGGCGAGAAGCGAAGAAAGGCAAGAGGAAGGGGGGGGGGGGGGGGGGAGAGAAAGCGAGAAAGGAGGAGTGGGAGGAGGGGTGGGAGGAGGAGCCGGTGGTGCCCAGCCAAGGAATCCAAATGCCCAATTGCGGAGGCTCGGCACATCAGTTCAAAATAGCGTTCCCGTGGGGAAAGGCCACTCCTCCCTCCCCGCCTTCTTTGCCTTCGAAACCATTCTGAATACGTGTTGAGCCCGTAATGTTACTTTTCAGTGGTCCCCTTCCCCGTCGCTATTATTTCACTAGAGCCCAAAGTCCCGCGCCATCGGTGACCAGGTCTTCCCACCGAGCTGAACTCTTCCACCCCCCTTGCCCTGCTGACACCTCCGCCTTCTTTCTCGATTCTCTCTACTCACAATTCCCGGGCCTTTCTTGTCTGCGTCAACGCCGTCGGCTTCCTGTTACCACTGATGGTGACGTATGGTGCCCCTATAAGCGAGAGATGAGGGGTGACGATGGCTGCTGCTGCTGCTTCTGCTGTAGCAGAAAAGTTTGGTTTGGTTTGGTTTGGTTTGTTTTGGCTTGGCTTGGCGACCATCATAGTGATGGTCAATGTCTTGATCGTTTGCAATTGATCGATTCTCCTTGCCGTGATGTAGTCTCGATTGCTGACATCCTGTGCCATTTTCGTTTGTTCGACCGTCAGCGCAGTCTTTGTTCCGCGAAACGTCTGGTTAGCGTTTTCGCGGTCTTGGTGGAGGCAAGTCTTGTGGATATCATCACCCAGTTATTCCAAGAATTTGAGACTACCTGTACCAGGAATGATGTGGATGCTATTGATAATCTCCTCTCTCAGATCGAGGCTCATCGCTTCCTTGATTATTTTGCCGGAACGTGTGTTGCTCAAGTTGTAACTAGTCTGACTTAGGGTATCGAGACGTAGTTCTGTGTTACGTTGGGAAGAGATGGCGAAACTGTCCTTGGAGAAGAAGATTTGTATGATCATGTTGGAATAGATTTCTGAAGAAAGGTCGACAAAAAAGGAACCCATGTAGTTGCTTGCTTTCTGTACACAACATGCTGATTTCGAAGTAGTATTTTGATCTTGCAACCGAAGTTGGCGGAGTTCTCTGAGTCTTTCACGTATTTTTATGTCATCTTCAACAGATACACAAGAGCTCCCTTCTCGCAAGTATTTAGAGCTCTGAATTGTACGTCGAGGAATATGTGTGATGGGCTGTACAATAGTCGCCTCATTAGTGGTTGCCTTGTTCCATTCAATTTGAACGTCGTCTTCCTTCTAGTCTTGTAAAAAATCTTTTCAACTTACATTTGCTTCGATCCGAAATGGAACTCAATCATAACAGATAAACAGAATGGATTAGAGAACTCTCATTCTGTCAGCTGGATAGAATGCCGCAACAATGAATCCTGTATATATGCACCTTGAATTACAGAATTTTACGTTGACCTGTTTATAGTTTGCAGATTTAGTTGACGTTTTCGTACGTTATCTTTGATGGTTGTGACATTATGCAGAATAGGTTTTCAACCTTTAATGCTGGCTTATTCTCTAACTCACACAGCGAGCATGGTTTGGCGGGGAATGTTTTTGAACACGCTGTCGATCGAGTACGAAAATGGAGAATGTAGACGTCCGCCAATGCTATTTCCTTCAGCTTCAGAGGTATTACACCCGTACTAGATATACCTTCATTCTTTAGTCTGCTAACAGTGAAATTAGCTACCTAAATGCTTGGTTCCATTTCGTGCTTTGGTAAGAGCGTTAATGGTATCCTGTGATAAGAGAATCACACCACGTGTTGTCAAACACTTGTCGAGTCAAACTCCGATAAATCTCAGGTTATGCTTTGTGTAGTTTATGATTATTCTATAAATTTAATCATTGTATTGACTTCATGCCTTTCCCAAGTCAAGGCTTTGACGACTTTGCTGATTCTATGATTTGTTTTCTAACTATTAATCATGTTGACTCATTAACAAAGCTCACTCGACTATTACCCAATTCAATCCAATAATTATAATTTGTATGTTTCTGCGCGAACTTTCTCCACACAAGTTATCTTCATCATGTGCAGTCATCTATGTGGGCCCGTTTTTAAAGGTTCATCCAACGACAAATAGCTATGTTTATTGAACTATGTTCATCTTATGGTCCAAGACTAACCTCCAATCGTTATAAATAGTAAGCATCGAGTTGCCATGTGCATTAGTTTGAATACTCAACTGCATTGCTTTACGAAGTCATGAATTTTCAAATCTTTTATTAATAAAGCCAGAGGGGGGGGGGGGGGGACAACCCTCGAGCTTGTACGAATCTAGAATCTGTTGGAGATGAGTATTGGCAATGAATATTCAAGAATTTGGGTAGGTCCAAAAGAAGGAAGATGTAATCATCCCTGGCACCAAGCATCAAACTAGAGACCTCATTCATTGTTATGGAATCACCTCCCACATACATCAGTCTCTTGTTCATGATCTTCCCTCCAAAGCTTCAAAAATTATATGTGAAGAAAGATTGTACCACTGCCCCTGCCCAATGTTTGCCAAGAATGGCCATGCACAAAAGAAAACAAGCAGGGATACACTTTTCCACCCAAATGTCATGTTTGTATAATCATCCAAAATATGGCATTCATCAATATGTATAAGATTAGGAGTTATTTTGCCAAATCAATATTAACATCATTGGTACATAATTCCAAGATCAATCTTGACCTTAGATAGTCATTAAATATGATCTATGCATCTTTATGTATTTTTATTATTATTATCATGATTCCATAAAGTATTTCTTGTTAAATGTATACTTTGTTGAAAATTAAGAATTAAACCTTACATACTCTGACAAACACACTTCTAATTTTGCCTACATAAAACAATGTACAGATTGTGCCAAGTTAATTGTATATATAAAAACCTGAACAAAAATGAAAAGTAATTGGATTAATTTTTCTAAAATAATTTTTCTATTTTTAATTTTTTATATATAAAAATTTATAATTCCTACTTTACAATCTAACTTGTTTGTTTGCATTTTATATCCTAAAAAAAAAAAAAAAAAAAAAAAAACAACAACAACAACAATAACAACAACAACATCAAAAATAACAAAGAAAATTTATTTTACAAGATGAGTTAATTTTAAAAAATAATAATAATCAAATTAACAATAGAATATAATTCTATTTTTTTTTTTTTTTTTCTTTGAGTAAGCTTGTTTTACAAATCTTATTCTAAGTAGATGTTAGTAGTCATCAACTAATTTATTAAATATAATTTCATTCTTAGATCCATAAGTTTATTTTAATTTAAAAATTTAATACTTATTTTGATAATAATAGTTTATTTTACACAATTTTTTATTTTTTTTATTTTGAAAAATAAATAAAATTATAATTTATATGTATATATATAGTATTTTAGTTTAATAAAGTTTATAAATATAATAATATATCAAATAATATTTTTAAATCATAGTTCTTAAATCCATAAATTTTTCTTATTGATTTGATTCAATATTAAATATTATCTAAAATTTTAAATCTATTTTATATCCTATACCAAATTTTTATAATATATTTTTTCATAGAAAATTTCATAAAACTTATAATTTTTCATGACAAAGCTTATAAAATATACAATATTTATCCCAATATCCATTATTTGGCTAAATTATCACCATTATCCTAAAAAAGTAAATTTAGCCACTTATTTCAGAGTCCAAAAGAGAATCTTTAAAGAAGTGTTGCACAATGGCCAATACATTTATAAAGTCATTACATTAGAAAGTCTCCATAATTATAAAGTGCTTGGTTCTATAAAAGCAAGATAATAAGAGAGTTGAGGCTTGTTCACAACAAGAATTGAAAATAAAAGAAGGATCGAAGAAGAATATGATGGCATTTGAAAGAAAAAAATTGGTAGTTGAAAAAGTCAAAAAGAAGGTGATTTGAAAATGTAAAAGAGAAGAAAAGTTCTTTGATTCTCTCTAGTCACAGTTAAGTCAAAGAAAGAATGTGCAAAAAATATATCAAATTATAACTTTTATGAAAAAACCATACATATAAAAAAATTAATTTATAACTTGTATTCTAATTTATATATCATATTTTATATTAAATTTTGTTTGGCACTAATAAACACTCAATGCACAATTGTGTGCCATGGCTTTATCTTGGACCTTTTTTCTAAATAAAATGGTCTTTTTTGACATAGAAATACAAATTTTTGATAGCTCTTGGTTAATCTTAGTGAATTAAATTATCTACATATTATCTTAATCAATAAAAAAAAGTTATAAAAATGTAATATACAAAAATCCAATCTATAATTGAATTGGATATAATTTTTTCTAAATAAATTCCACGTATCTTTTAAGATTCTGATGTAGGATTTATTTGTAATCCTTGATTTAGCCAAACAATAGTAGAATTCTTTGTTAATCAACTATTCTATGATTCAAGACTTATAGCCAAGGATAATTGTTCAACTCAAATCACAAACTAAATCTGCTAATAAGTATTGCTTATGATCTAAGTCTTTTTTGAGATTTTTATATAATTTTATCTTCTCAAATATTAATTATTTTTTTATTTCTATCTATTAATATTATCTAGATAATTATTAGAATAAATATATATGTCCATGATGTCACTCTTCTTTTTTAAGGACAAGTTCCATAAGGAGTAGTGATCACATGTTGATGAAGTTCAAGATGCAACTAATTGTATTTGCTACATACTCTAATCCTTGTTAATTTTGAAGGTAGTTGATAAGTTTTCTTGACCATTAATAATATCTCATTCTAAGATAAAAATTCAATCTTATTATTTAATTATTATTGAAGCTATCATAACTTCTTTTAAAATAAATATTTATTATACTAACAATAATTATTTCTACCTCTAATAAAATCATCAAACATTGAAAGTCTCTATCAAGGTTGTGATAGCAAACTTATTATATCTTGCTATCCATTCAAATAAGAACATGTCATTCTTCAGGATCTTCATTTCAATTATATTG